GCAGGACATGAGGAAAAACTTTTTCCGTCAGGCCTGTGGGACGGAGGGGGGGCTGCCCCGAGCCCCTGCTCCGGCCTCGGAGGCGGCCCTGCGCTGAGGGGCTGGGCTGGAGACCTCCCTTCCAGCCTGAACGATCCGTACTGTGAGGAATGAAAACAGAACGGTATTACAGCGGGGTTATTACAAATGACAACGGGGCGCCCGGCGCAGGGCTGGTGTTCATAGCTGGTGGTGGCAAAAGGCTTGTTTCTGACACTGCAAGTGAGGGACTTCTTGCTTTTTGGTAAAGCATCCCACAAGTCCAGTTTAAGCTCTAATGCTTTGCTGCATGGACTATGAGAAACAGCTGAATTACTTACATGCAAACACTGTTTGTTTTTCCAGATGCTAAAAGCATTGTTAATTATACATGATTGGTGACATCGTAGAAACTAAACAATGCCAACTAAAAGATGTCATGGATTTGTTTCGTTCTGGGCAAGTTGTAAAAGTATGTGCCCCTATGGTCCGCTATTCAAAGTAAGTAACTGTCATGTCAACTGTTTTCAGTGTATTTTCTCTGAGGAAGTTTATCTTGACTGTAAAAACAGGGATGATTACCTTTTTTTCCTTTAATTATTTAAGACAGAGATAGACATGGGACATGTTTTATCTTATGATTATACTTGGACATCCCCACACTACTGTATGTCAGAACAGCATTTTAAAATATCTAATCAGAAAAATGTCTTTACTATTTATCCCTTAATTTTCATGTGTCTGCAGGTTGGCTTTCAGAACCTTGGTTAGGAAATACAGTTGCGATTTGTGTTACACACCAATGATAGTGGCAGCTGATTTTGTGAGATCTGCAAAAGCTAGAGACAGCGAGTTCACAACAAACAAAGGTATTTTTTTTAAGAAACCATTGCCTTGTCAGAATGTTTTGTGATGTGATAAACCAAATTGGCCAAGTGAATGAAGTCTGTCGCACAACTTGACATCCGTTAACAGTTTTGGTATACCGTATCTGAATGACTGTAAAACCATAGAAATACTCTAGGTGAGAGTAAGCACATTCCAGTGATAGTGTGTCAAATGAAATAGTGGAAAACCGTGTCTCCACCTGAAATCAGGGCCTCCAAACTGATTGAGATGTATGGTGTGTTGACCACACATAGCTGGCCAGCAGCTGTGCACCCACACAGCTGCTCACTCATTCCTCCTCCACCCCCCCAGCAGCACAGGGAGAGAATAGGAAGAGCAAAAGCCAGAAAAACTGGGTTAAGATAAAGACAGCTTAATAAGTGAAGGAAAGGAGGAGAAAAAAACAAGTGATGCAAAGGCAATCACTTCCCACCTCACACCAGTAGACCAATGCCTAGCGAAGCAACAGCCACCCTGGAACACAATTTCCATGTCCCAACCCACTTTCTTCTTCCCCTACTGCTCCAGTTGTATTGCTGAGCTTGATGTTATTGTTATATGGTATGGAATATTCCTTGGGCCAGTTTGGGTCAGCTGTCCCAGCTGTATCCATTCCCAATTTCTTGCCCACCCCAATCTATTTGCTGGGGGCAGGGAGAGGCAGAGTGAAAAAAAGAGAAAGTTTTGACACTGTACAAGTACTGTGCAGCAATAGCCAAAACACTGGTGCATTATCAACACTGTTTTTGTCACAAAATCCAAAACACAGCACCATACAGGCTGCTATAAATAACCTTTAAATAAATTTAAAAATTAACTCCATCCCAGCCAGACCCAGTCAAGATGGTAGAAAGATTCTTTTCCCAGCAATTGCTGTTTCTTGTGTGTTTCAGAGACGAACGCTTACCTCATTGCCAGGAAAACACTACTGGTCTCTAACAAAAATAAGAGGGTTGCTTAAAGGTGAAAAAATTAACAGACCAGACATTGATACAGTGGAATCAAGGATTGATAAAAGAAGCAGGGTTTCAAATTAGCTGGAGTGGAAAGTGGAAGGGGCTGTTGGTGGACTCCTTGAGGTATTGAGAAGGTGATAAAAAGGAGCAAGAAGGCAAGAAGAGACCAGGAAGTAGAAGCATGGCAAGGGTTGATGGGGAGAAGCCAGGCTTTAGGCGTGGTGCAGAAACATAACCAGAACATGTACAAAAAGAAGGAATATAAGGAGTTGTAGAGACTCGTGGCTGTAAAGCAAAAGATAAAAGTGGTATGAAATATGTGGGAAGAGGTGATAATAACAATATAGATCTGCTGGCATGAAGTGGCTGCAGTAGAAGAGTGTAACAAGGAACATACAAGCATAGGCTGCAACTGGAGGAATGAAGAGCACACTGCTAATGTGCTCAGATCAGCGTGTAGGATCTATGAAGTGTGATGATTTAATCTATTCAGACCACTGAATTGGTGGTTTCATAAGTGTATATATAATAGCAGGGGAAGTATATTTCATTATTTTAGCACTGGCTGGTTTCTATTGTACATTATTCAAATAGAACAGTAACATATAAAAATCACATTGGGAAGCACAGATAGACTCTCTTATTAGTAGAATCCAACTTTAAAAAAGCATGAATAATTCTTTGTGTGTAAAAATAAATTAGTAAGAACGTAATTGACAATATATATGGCTCAAAGGTCCACAGAGCAACTAGTTCCACTAGTTTGTTCCCTTTCAACTTACACTTCTGATCTACACAATGTCCTGCGGCATTGAAGTTCCACAGGTCAGATACATAGTGTATTCTGGGGGGTGCAGGAACAGGGAAAGAGGAAATTCCCCTTTATGCTGTAACTTTGCTGCCTGATAACAAGGGGTACAAAATGAAATGTTCTAGTGTTGTAAACAGTATCTTTTCCCTATTCACCTCTTTCATGCAGGCCTTAATTTTATAGGCCTCTAAAACATTCTGCCGCAGATAGCTTTGCCAAGATTATAGTATTTACTTCATTAGCATTTATGCTTTTAACAAGTAGCTCCACAACAGGTTGTGAAATTTTACTGTGGTTTTATGTTTAACTTGCTGGCTGTTTGGGGATTTTGTCTTCTAATTAGCAAAGTAGGTTTGGAGCCTACAATTGCAATTTCTGTTTTCCATTTTCTTTGGTGTTGACATTTCTTTGTTGTGAATTTCTAAAATAGATGTAGATGTTCTTTGTGGCTGCTGCTAAAAAATGTAATATGGCTAGACTCCATATTATTACTTAATGCTCAAATAAAAATTAGGAGCATGGGATTATTCCAAAGTATTAGCTGGAGTAATATAAATCTCTTCAGCTAGGGCACTGTCTTAAATGGACGCTGTTTTGAAAATAGGCAAGGGATTTTTTTTGCTTGCTGGATTTTTAGGTATTTTCTAGAAGTGTCTCAAATTGATTGAGAGGGTACTGCTGCCCTCTCTGACTTAAGCTCCACTACTTCAAGAACTACTTATTTTCCACTAAAATAGAAAAATCTTCAGAAGCACTTGTGGTCTTTTCAGTACCAGAAGAGCACTTGTTTTGTGCATTTGTTGGATCATCTCTTTCCATCAATGCTCAGATATCCCCCTTCCTCTTAACTGCAGCAATTGTTTATATGGAAAGTGAGTGCTAAGGCTGTTTGAGATATTTTTAGATGCCTTTAATGTAATGCAGTAGCTGTAAAAGAGGAGAGCATGTTCCAAATGACCACCTGGCTTTCTGCAGGGGCTTAGCAAATCACAAGTAGTTCAGCAGACCCAAGTTGAGGAGCACAGACACTTTGGTTTCCCACTTGAGACAAAGCTGCCTCTGCCCGCATGTTCTCATTCCAACTCTGCATATTGCATTGTGGATAAAAAACAGCCATGTTGGCACAGAAGAGGAAAAAGATGGGCTGGGATAAGGAAGGGCAAAGCTTGTGGGTTGTTTAGCTCCTTTCTGAAGGATTGGTTCCATAAGCAAGTTTCCCACCTGGCAAGACAGACAGCCGTGTGAGCACAGCAAAGGGGCAGCATGCAGATGAGAAGGGGCAGGCTAGGAGGCGAAGCATGAAGGCTGCTGAAAAATAGAGGATACTTGGTTTCATATATCATCTTTGTGAAGGATAAGCATCTGACCAATTTCGGTCAGAAAACGTGTATGTTGAGCCAGCAACCATCTAGGACACATATGTATGTCTGAATTCCCACCTCTCTTGATAGACATACTCATTTAGTAACCACTGGTCAGCTACCTTTATTTGTGTGATCTAGGGCTCATAGAATTGCAAAATAGTTGAGTTTAGAAGGACCTCTGTAGGTCATGTTACCCAGCCCCCCTGCTCAAGCAGGGTCACCTAGAGCCGGTTGCCTGGGACCATGGCCAGACAGCTTTTCAGTATGTGAAAACCACTCAAAATTTAGAATTTCTTCTTTTTGCTTTCTGGGTTTTTTTAAATCTCTAAATATCTTTTCATTGGAGTAGGTGATCATCCACTGATTGTTCAATTTGCTGCTAAAGAAGCACAGGTTTTGTGTGATGCTGCCCGTATCGTCTGTCCTTTTGCAGATGGAATAGACCTAAACTGTGGCTGTCCTCAGAGGTAAAGTTTTGAAAAAGCTGGTGAAATAATGATGAAATAATTTGAGAATAAAGAATGCTGGTCTTCATTTTCATAGTAATTTCTGTCTTAACTTGAAAATAGACTTCGAGAAACAGCTTTTCAACATGTCAGAAATGTCTATGGGGCAAGACACTGTTCTGAATGTTCTGAGATGCCTGTCACCATGGTGAGACTGGGAAAACCAGGTGTATTTGCCAACTTGCCTTTTTTCATTTCTGAGATATTGAGTGTTGGCTCAGAAGTGAAGTGTCCGTCCCTTCTCAACAGCTGTTAAGTATGCATTACCAAAAAGAGCTTGCTGCAAATAATTTGGAGAGTGTTTTGAGAAATGATGTGGCAATTCCCAACATAACAAGGCAAGTCCCTGATGTCTCAGACTTCTGCAAGTGAAGGATAGTCTCTAAAATATAATTATACAGATTATATTATTCAGGAAGTGCTGAAAAGAATTTTTCCATCTTTTATTAGGTTTATAAGTACAGTGAATTAGTGATCTACTCACTTAAATTGATAAAGATTTTGTCTTGACAGTGAAACAGAGTAGTAATGCACAAATGAAGATTCTTGCTAACTGGTTCAGTTGAGAACCATTTATTACATGCTTGTCAGGCAGTCTTTCTAAGTGAAGACCTCAAAAATAAATGTAGGAAAGCAAAAGATAATATTATGGTGCAAATACTTAATTTGTCTATTATAATTAGGTTGTTTTGACTTAAAATTATAGTATTTGAGGAAACTCTTGTGGAGAGATCTGAGACTTTGGAATGGAAGTGTATTTTTTTTTCTAAGCTAACTACGGTTAAGTATGCCAAACTGTAAGTTCCTTTTAGGCCAAAAATATACGCTTACATTTGAATCCTTTGTTTCTTGTGCGTGCTGGTTTCAAAATAACAAAACTTTGTGCACTTAATCTGCTTTGATAAGAAAAATTATTTAAGAAAAAAACTGCTGCTGCTAAGTGGAAGCAAAGGTTATTTCCTGCCAAACAAAATAAAGTGTTTTGCAGTTGAGGGAAAACAGAATATTACTGAAATCATATCCTTACTTGCACTTCAAAAATCTTCCTTTGCAATCCAAAGTCATTTTCTGTTTAGAAGAAATCCATGACCCAATGGAAGTGAAAACATCAAACTGTTTATTTTATGTATGATCTAAACCATTGTTGATTAAATGTTAATCCTTGTGAGTCCATTTTGTGGACAGAAAATTGAACTGGAAGAGGTTAGTGACTTGTCCAAAGTTCTAACAGCACAATGGAGGCTGAACCAGGATCTAAAAGCTGGTGTCAAACTGCAAACGAATCGCCACCCCCCAGCCAGTACTCTATTTACTCAACCACACATTCTAAAGGTCATAAGGAAAGAAAGATGTATTTGACTGAAATTGATCTGCATTTTCTCAAATGTAGAATAAGAGTGTTCTTTTTCTTTTGAAGATGGGCGATGGCAGAAGGTTATGGTGCTTGCTTAATAAATAAACCAGAACTAGTTCGAGATATGGTGAGACATGTACGGAATCAGATTGACAACCCTAGGTTTTCAGTATCTATTAAAATAAGGTAGGTCTAACTTAAGTGCTGTTTGTGGTACATGGAATTTTTTTTTTAAAGAAACATGTTAGTGTAATAGTTACACTATGATATATGTAATTCTGTTAATGTAATATTACACATTATAATAATTTCCTTACATGTGAAGACTACTGAGATTTTTGACCCCAGATGGTGAAAGAATATCTGGGGCAAGTAATCCCAAACTTAGATAGTAGAACCAGCACAGCCTTTGACTACTTACCCAGATAACATACTGGATGCTGGGAGTTTTCTTGCAATCCAAATGACATGAAAGTACAAGTTAAAAAATCTAGGGTTCCACGAAAGAAAAGCAATGCATAGTCTGTATCATCACAAGCATTTACTTTGTGAGCTGTTGGAGGCCAGAGCCACAGTTGCTGTTGGCTATAAAGGGAAGGGGAACAAAACTGGGAACTGGTCCCCACAGCTGCTGTAAGGAACACATCCTGCTTCCCTTCATCACTTTCTAAACTTCTGTAAACTGTTGCTTTGCATTGCTTTGTACCACTTCATCTGCTATTTATCCACACATCCCATGTGGCTTTTGCATATTTGTCAGTTAAGTTTCAGGAAAGGGGAACTATTATAAATTGGAATTTTTTCCAGAAAATATACAAAATAGTGATGTTTATTTTAGAATCTTTTGGGCACCCTTGCTCAATCTCTGTAAAATTTACCATGTATATTTCAGAAATGTGATATAATTGGGAAATGCTAAATTAAATAGTAGTTTCAATACATTAAACTCATATGTCTTTATTTAAAAAAAACCCTCTTTATCTTCCAACAGTAATCTTTTATTTATTTATACTGTTATTTATACATTTCCATGGTAACTCCTCCTTATGGAGGGGGGCTTTTTATACAGTTCAGGTAACTTACTATCTAATGTTTTCATTCCTTGGAATTTTAGGATCCATGAGGACTTAAAAAGAACAGTTGACCTGTGTCAAAAAGCTGAAGCAACTGGAGTTTCATGGATTACAGTACACGGGAGAAGTGTAGAAGAAAGACATCAGCCTGTACATTATGATGCAATTAAAATAATTAAACAAAGCATGTCTATACCTATTGTGGCTAATGGAGACATTAAAACTTTAGAAGATGCTGAAAATGTTCATCACTTGACAGGAGCAGATGGTAAGATTAAGCATACTCTATTTTCTAAGTAAACTTATGAAACAGATTTCAAAGTATTTATTTTGGCTGTAAGTAGGACATGATTTGAGTGCTTTTCACTCTCTGAGGAGACAAATGAAAGAGGATGTTTTAGATGCCTTATAAACTCATAAACAGAATCACTTGTAATCATCAGAGCACTAGAGCACTGTTATTCAAAGCCACAAATAATGATTTCTGAGACAAATTACAAAAGCTCGTTGCTTAATTATGCTATCTCATCACTCAGTAGTGGAGTTCAGGGGCACCTTCAGACATTCATTCTGTCTCCTTTATGGAGCTGATCATCTTTTAAAGAACTGTAAACTTCCACTTGGAAATCTCTACTTCCTGCGCACAGGAGCAGATTTCTTACAGTAAGAATATGGCAGGAAAAGGAAATATTGTTAAGCCAGATACTTAACAGTTACGATGGTTAGCTTCAAGGACACAGTGAAGCATTGCACTCCTAGATCAGTATGTATTTACCTTGTCTTACACTTCAATGGTAAAATTTTGGGGTACAGGATTGCCCTGCAGTTAGATAGTCACAATAGATTCCTGCAACTGTCTATGGTTTCAAGACAATATGGAAATTCAGTATATGTTTTGAAGAGCTGATCTGTATCTACATACTTTGGATCTCAAAGCTAGAGAATAACAGGACAGAGAACAGTAGCTAGTGTCATAAGGAAAAGTTCATGTGGCAGGTTTCTTTTGACACTATTGATGTTTAATAGCAACAACAAAAACTACTTGAACCAAACTGTCATGCTGCTACAGTGACTTCCCCCCCAAATACAAAGCAGTAAGGAAGTACATAACAGAAAAGAATGTTCTCATAGCCCAGCTGACCTTCTTCAATAGCAAAAATGTAAAGCATCAGGCTTTTTCTGTTGCTTGTTTTGCATCAGGCAAAATAAATTTGTCATATTTGATCATCCTATTTTTTAAGAAGAGACTAAGTGTGATAGATTATATGTTGACAGTGCAGGAAAACAGAATTCCTTAATTGCAGAAAAATTAAAATAGAACTTGTATGGGTTTATCTGACAATTTGAGATTATAGTTGCAAATACACTGGCTTGTTCAGAAAGATTTACTGCAGACCAAGAGCCCTGAGATTTATATAATTGAGACATTGAGCTCCTACTGGAAGAAAGATTCTAGGTCAGCGAATCAGCTGAGTTGCACTAAAAATGACTAAATTTAGCATATTGCTACTCTTGTGTGTTTCCATCATAATTTTATGTTAAAAAGACAGGCTTGTATGTGTGTAACAAATAAAATACTGTTGAATTGCAGTTTAAAAAGCAGGGAAGAAAGGCTTCTGTGTCCTGTGTTTCGTTTCAAAATTTCTGGAAGGATACATCATCCAGTTGAATGTGTTGACAGGTGTTGTAGGTACTCTGAGGTTTGGGTTGTTAAATAGATTTCTCTGGTGTAGCTATAATGCTCGTCCTTGTTCTCCCATTACTTGTCTGTAGGCTTTGGGTGGTTGTCCTAAGGGGTGCTATACAAAATCTATAGGAAGATTTAATGTAAAATTTAAACTAGATAATGTAACTTACTGCTTTAATTTCTGATTTGAAGGTATAATGGTGGCTCGAGGACTCTTAGCAAATCCGGCTATGTTTGCAGGATATGAAGAGACACCTTTGAGGTGCATCCAGGACTGGGTTGACATTGCTCTTGAGCATGGAACTCCTTTTACGTGTTTTCACCACCACTTAATGTACATGATGGAACGGATAACTTCAAAACAAGAAAAAAAAGTTTTTAATGTTTTATCAAGTACCTCAGCCGTACTAGATTATCTGAATGACCATTATGGTGTGTGATAACTGAAAGTATTTTAGTTGTACGTAAACTTGTATCTTGCAATTGTCGATACATTGTTGAAGTTTTAATTGGGTTCCTACCGTTTAGTCACATTCATATATTGCGTAAGTATTTTCAACATAGTGTAACATTATGATCAGGGTGATACTTTATATTTTTAGTATTTTTATGTCAGCATTTTTCACTCCAGAAAATATTCCAGATTCCACAAATGTGGAATTCTATTTACAATGCATTACTACACAGAGGGTTGATTATTGTAAGACTCCAGTAATTTATTTTTTCACCAGACAATTGCTTACAGCAATATGTTTGCAAAATTAGGGCCTTTCTTACATGAAACCTCCTAAAATCAGAAGGACTACTCATAAATAATACCAAGAATTCCAGACCAAAAGAATATAAGGGGAGCAATTATAGAAGTTTTTGCTTTAACTGTCATAAGCTGTACTTTTAAATTTGAGTAGATTTTTCAGGCTTAAAGACTGTGAGGCCTTGAATCCCAGCATAGTATCATCATTTAAATTAGATGTTCCTTTTGCAGACTAAAACTTTCTAAACTTACTTACAACTCAGAAAAATTCCACACTTCATATAGTGAAAGAAACCTGGAATAGATAAACGATAACGGAAAGAAGGAAAGAGTAAAGTGAAGAGATAGTTTAAACTAAGTACAAACTTAGCTGAATCTAAAATACAAGACTTGAAAGTTCAATCTAACTAAATTCAGTTTTGTTTATCTACTGTATAATAATTATATAAAAGATTAAATCCCTGTCATCTACCAAAACAGAACTTTATAGGTCAAAGAAAAGCTGACAGATTCCCTCAGTGGGGCTCTTGCAGTCCTTTCTGCCTGCTGGCATGTTGTTTATCAAAGCATGACAGCCACTTGGCTTTGAATCTTTGTATAGGAGGGAAATAGTGAAAATTGGAACAAGATAATAACATTACACACCAGCTGCATTTGTTCTGCAAGGGAGATTTCACAAATCTATGCAGTACAATTATTTGTAATCAAATAATTTGTTTTCTTTATATGTTTACACAGAAATTCATACCAGAAATTGCTTAGTTTTCTGACTCTGATACTTCTGTGAATATACAAGTGAATAGTTCTAAATTTTCTAAATAAATTACTTGGTTTTGTATACATTTTTTTTTTTTATTACACTATAAGCTGTGACAACCTGGGGGAGGGGAGGTTGCTTTTGATGCTACTCCCCAAATCTTTTAATTGTTTAGATACCTGAATTCTCAAAATTTTTTTTAATGCGATCAAGTCTAGTTCACTGTTTGAGACAGCAAAGTTACGTAACTCTTCTGATATGGTCACCTTCCTGATGTGTTAACAAATGGAAAACTACAGACATAGTTTGCTATCCTAGGCTAATTGAGACAATCTCTACAACCTTTTTTGGTGCTATAGGTTCTCCATTCCTTTAGACAACTATTTTTTTTTACTCTTCTGGATTGTAATGTTTTCTTGACATTGGATGAGCACAATTATGTATAGCATTCCAGGTAAAACACCAGCAATGTCTTCTGCAGTTAATACTTCTGTTTCTAATGCCTCATTTTTCCTCAACTAATATTCATCATGTAATTTATGAGCTCCCAGTTTTACAGCAAAAGTTCTTATTTCCCAACTGCATGACATTGTACTGCTGAATTTTCAGTCTCAAGTTCATCCAACTATAGTGCAATACTCTCCTCAGTTCTGAAAATGCCTCCAGCCTTCTGCATCAAAATTAAAAAGTAAAACAATACAACTGAATTGTAGAAGAAAGGGATTCTTGAAAGTGTTAACCAAGCCTCATGTTAGCATTTTCTTAAGATTTTTATGATTTGGCAAGCAACTATTATTTGCTGTGAACTGTCCCATTAGCCACAAGGAGCAGAGAAGAAAAAGTTATTTATTATAATCAAATAACATAAATGCAAGGCTTTTTGTGTAATCAAATAACATAAATGCAAGGCTTTTTTTTGTGTGTGTGTGTGTAATAATGGGGAAATTGAATTTTAGAGGACTTGAAATACCTTGACCTATTTAGGAACTGAATAGTTGATGATTTTGAAGGCAGCAGTTGTTGTGCCTGTGTGAGATCAATCATAGAGATTTCTGCCTGAAGTACAAGACCTAGGTTGCTGTTAATATCGCTACTAATTAAGGAGTGCTTGATCTGGCCAATTATGCATCATAAAAGTCAATGGAAGTTTATCATCCCTTTTTGAGGGTGAAATGAATTGTACACCTTCTTCCCTTGTGAATTTTGTATGCATCTGAACACACTCCACTGTGTTGACATAGAATAAACTGCAAAACTGGAGTCTTAAAGCCAAACTCTGAACAGCCATACTGTTCAAATAGACATAAATTGCTAAAGATGGGAGTTAGTTATTTAACTCCCAGTGTTGTTTTAGAATATGGTCATATTTCTCAATGTAAGTAATTTGAATATGGGAAAATTTACTCATCTCCAGTTTAAAGCCACTAGATATATTCCTTCCCTGTATATGTTACTTGTAACATCACCAGGTACTCAGTCTTTCTATTTTCTAATGTTCAAATTTTTAAGAGTTACTCTGCAAGTAACATAACATATGCAGCTTTGTTTCCTATTTTAGGTCCTTTGCCTCCTGTAACTGATCCAGCTCTTTATTTTAAGCCACCCTGCCCAACAATGCCATATTCTCATAATACCTATACTTTCTTGCAACTTTTACCCTGCTGCAGTAACCCCAGCTCCCTCACACAGCCTATACAATCCCATTTTCTCTATTCTCTACTGTTGTTTCTTAGGTCTCTTCTCTGTCTTGGGTTGATGGCTGGGCAAATGCAGTGTGTGATGATGAGACAGCTGTCGTACAAGCCAAACTAGAATGGAACAAGTTTGAACTTTCTCTTTGCCTTTCTTTCAGCAGAGAATTAGATTTCTGTCCTCTAACCAGCTGCTAATACACCGGCATTTCATATTTCTACTTCTGAATGCTTTGTCACCTTACTGGTGGGAGGAGAAGGTATTTCTTTTAACGGTAATGTTTTAAGGTTCACAAGTTTTTTTCCTAAAGCAGCCAGCCATTAGATATATTGTATGGCATCATATTTATCACACTGTGGTTCACTGTAAGATAGGCAGCCTTAGATCAACAACCCAGACTTCTACAACTTCAGTTAGAATACCTTTCTGAGATCTTACGAAGCCCCTGAAGTGAAAAAGCAGGCTCGGAGTCTGGCAGCAGGGATGTGCAAATATAGTCCTGTAAGTATGAGGCTAGGCTATTGGGAGGGCAGCTTACAGTGCTAGTAAGAGGTGAGTAAGCAGCTCAGAAATGGAAACTGCTCTGGAGTTAAAGGAGAGAAAGTCTTTAATAACATTTTAACAGCTTAAATAAAGTATAATGGCTGTAGGCAAATAGGTAAAACGTAATAACCAGGACACCCTAAGAGGTTATGTTTTGTCTATGCTTCTGATTAAATATGTTTATGAAAACATGTTAGAAATACTTCTTAAAACCCAGGCTGTTTCTACTGTGGCGATTGGATTGAAATGGCTGGTTGTATCGCTCTCCAATATTTGTTATGCATAAACAATTATTTGGGATGTAACCTTTCATCCAGACATTGCTTGGCAGCAGCTAGGAAAATGTTAACACACTGGCTCCATCCCCACGCCACAGACCTGGGAAATTTTTAAGTGTAAACAATTTCAGATCGTGAGCAGCTGCAAACAACTCTGTTCAAAACCGCTTATGCAAGAACTTCCTACCCATTTCAGTTCGAATGGATTAGAGTAACAAAGAACTGCTATTCACAGCATTTAATCTGACTCATTTTGATGGAAATTAGTTGGGACAGAATTCTCAAAAGCAGGTGGCTGTGTCAAGAGGGCTGGTGATGCCCAGCTAGACAAGGTAACCTCTTCCACCAGCAGCACCTCAGGATCTGTTAGGGCTGCAGGCAAGTCAATAAGCTGCTGAGTGGGCCATGGCCTGAGCTAACTGAACAGGGTGCGGAAAACTCCTGGATATGACAAGTGAAATTGCTGAACGTGACATACAACAGTGTGAGAAGCTGGCAAAAGCTGCAGATAGCGCTGGGAGGGATGGCTGGATTTCACTGGTGGTTAAGGGGGAGTTACGTGAAAAACAACTGAACTACACAGATAACTGGAGAGTAGTTTTGAGGGTCCTTTCGGGCCAAGAGTGCCTGATAACCATATCAGTACCTCAGTAACACCACGTAAGGCCAAGACTGCCCAAGTAACAGTATCAGAAATACTGGGTGTGGGTACAGATACAGCAAAACTAGGAACGGAAAAGTGATTAGGGGAGGTTTATGCAAGGGCAAAGATGGGAAGTTACAAGGGTGGCAAAGGAGATGGTCAAGAAATGGGAAAATGGGTACCAAGGTATGGAAACAATGTGCTTGGAGCCTCACTATGCTGATAAAACGCACTGCACAGGACAGTAGGATAGAACAGGATTTTCTGAAGGAATATTGTTTCATTCATGAGGTCCAAACAGACCTGTTTGACACCGAGGCTGTTGTTTGGTTGTTATTTGTGGTGTCTTTATGAATACTGGGCCTATTTTCCTTGAGAAAACAGATTTACAGGATCTTAATACATTAAGGTAGTGTAACACATGGGGGGCATGGATGGACGGACACAGTATTTCAACTGAACTTCAGAAACTAATGAGCGTGCTAGAGAGCAGAGTTGAAGTCCCTGATCAAATAAGCTTGAATCATGGACTGGTGGGATGATCACAGCAAGATTCTGCAGCAAAATGCTTACAACCATTGCCTGAATGTGAAAAAGATACTAATTTTAACCTTTCTCAACGTGTTGATCCTTGCATTTTCCAAGAGAGCTGTGGTCCCTTAGTAAATTCACGCCTACCGTCAGACTCGGCTTTCCAGCGGCCCTACGCAAACCCCTCAGCAGTCGTTACTGCATGTCTCCCCCGGGCCCTCTACCCCCGGGAAGCCGGGGCGGTAGCCAAGGATGGCCTCTGGGAAGGGAGGAGGACGGCGGAGAGCCTCCAGCTCCACCAGGGTAGGACCAGAGGGGACCCTTCCCTCGGGCCTGCCCGCACCTTTCCCCTGCTGGGACGGCGGCCACCTCCGCACCGCCCCC